CCACCGGTTGTCGTCATCGCCGCAGGGACGATCAGAGTTTTCCATGGTTGAAACTGGTGTAGTAGTCGCGCTTCTCCTTTTCGGCTCGGCGAAGGGCAGCGCCCACCTTGATGCAGGCTTGCGAGGTGGTCGGGGGTTGGGCTGTGCGCACAGTTACGTCAATGCCCAGGTCGGGCAGAGCTGGGCCCAGAGCGCCACCAGGAAAGAGTGCTGTACTACTGGTGAAGATGGAACAACATCAAGCATTGGAGTGTAGGAGTGTACATTCCAAGGTAACGTATCTTGTGCAGATTGTTCTTCTCGTTTTGAATGCTATGAATACTGGCCTACTCATGCGACTTGGTGCCTGTTGCTTCTTGAAATGATGCTGGAATGCTGATCTTTTGATGGAAGCAAAAGGAAACAATGAATGTTTTCATCACTTGAATCAATTGGAGGGCGCGGTTAGAGATGCAGGGACGGCTCACGAAGCAGCAAGCAACCAAGAGAGAAGGTCCGCCGATGAAGAGAAGATATCAGCATGTGACGGTTGCAGTTGAACATAGATTGTCGCTGCTCGCCCGACGCTTGCTCGGACAAATGTGCATGATGCCTTGGAGATGACTTCTGCCGCCGCCTGTTGCCAAAGCGAATCCAACACACGGGCACATTTGGCGCGAAACAGTTGGTCCGGAGCACGTTGAATGACATCTTCTTCTGCAGGTTCAAACTGAAGCTGGCTCGATGCGAATGAAAAGGGCATGAGGATGTAAGTGACAACAAAACAACACAAAGGAACGGCGGGCGCAGATCAACTGCGGTTGCATGCAGGAAGAAAAGACGCGATGGCCAACCTGTGCCACAATCAGATCAGATGTTAAATCCACTGGCGCCAGCTGGCAGCGCAAAGGTTCACCCGCGTCCGAATACGCAGTCAAAATTGGTGCGTATGCCCCAAGGCAGATCTGAGTACACGCGAACGTCATTACAGGAATGTGAGCGAAAGCCAAAATCACACACCAAGCCCACACAAACAAGCTACCCCCCCCCCCCCCCCCCCCCTAAAAAAAAAAAAAAAG